ATATTGAAGTTATCTATAAATTGAGTTTCCAAATATTCCAAATACCTATCGAAATCAGCTCTAACACACGCTTCCCTGCTTCCCTTTGTAAAATTATTAAGATTTGCCCTCTTCCGAAGGAAAAACTCTAACATTTATCTTTTATAAAATAAAAAATTATTCTATAATATAAATTATAAAATATAAATTACTAAATAAAATAAACCTTTTAATATTAAAAACTATCTCTTCTCACATAAAAGTTTTTATTTTACCCGCTAATACAATTCCATGATTCCATCTACAAAATAGGCACTCTTTATAAAAATCCATGTCATTTCTTTGTAAAGAAAAAAGAAAATCATAAAATAACAAAGAAAACCATTGTGAGATAGGTCCAAACCTGTTTGCTAAAGAGAATGAGCCCAGCGAAGAAGCCCAACCAAAGCCTCTTAAGGACCGAAGGAATTCAATTAACAGCCAAAATTTGCCATAAACAAAACAATATTCTTGGGAAAACAAGTACACCAAGAAAAATGTTGAAGAAATGTAAAAGAACAGGTGAAGGTTCCCCCCCTGATTTTCACGAACTCCACCAATGAATCCATTTCTCTTCCAATGTACATCCTTACACACACAAAATATACCAATCACTGTTTAGGTGGTTAACCCATCAGACGAGAAGGTTCGTGACTTGGATTCAACCCCAGTTAGTGTCTCCCTCACCCTTAAAGAAGAAAATCTTAAGAAAATCTAATTGCCTGTGAAGGAAATGTAAAATTAACCATGATCCATAAACCCAGAAATTGGAAATGCCATTAAAGACTTCCGATTCGTCTAAGTTTCTTTAGTTATGTATTCATCCGACTCTTGATTTTGCTTTCTTTTTGAGAAAATTAAATTAGTAGATCGCTGCGCAGCAAGGCTAATTATCACAATAAGTTGATGGGGAGATCCTATCCTAAGATGAACGCAGGAAGATTTATCCGGTGGTCTAGGAGCTGTCGAAATTGATATCAAGGTAAGTTTGTTTATAAGTATTAGAGAAATGGTACAAATAAGGATGTAAACTTTAGAATTTTTTTTTATTTAAAAATATTAATTTTGTTAGTTTTTAAATAAGGATATCAAATTTTAACTTTTTATATTTAAAGATATTAACTTTTAATTTTTTTTTATTTAAGGATGTCAACTTTCAATATTTCAGTTATAAAATCTATTTATCATATTAGCATTATCATCAAATTAATGCTTAAATAGAAAAAGTTGAAAGTTGATATCTTTAAATAGAAAAAATTGAAAGTTAACATCTTTAAATAAAAAAATTAAAAAGTGATATCCTTATTTAGAAACTAATAAAATTAATATCATTAAATAGAAAAAAGTTTAGGTTATTATTCTTTTATTTAATTAGAAATGGTTTTAATGAAAAAGTGTAGTGCAATTTAGATTATACTAAACTATATTACACTAACTATTAGATGGGGGTGAATTTTTTGATAGTGGAGGCTTTTTTTCTCATCCAATGATTTTTGTTTTACAATTCAATATAATTCGGATTATAAAATAAGATTCTTTTTTAATAAAAAATTCATATCAAGGAAAATCAAAACATTTTAACAATTAAAATGTTAGGGTTGACAATGAAAAGATTAAAACATCTTTAATAAATCAACACACAAAAGAAATTTATCAAAAATATATATTAAATAGTTTCACAAAAAATCTTAAAATTTTAAATGTCAAGACATCCTAATTTCATTTTACTTTTAAAAAATATATTTGGTGTGTGTTTAAAGATGCAACAACTTTCTGCCCAATATTTCAAGAATCACTCATTTGAGTTTTTTTATTACTCAGAGGCTGATCGCCAAGTGAATTAGGACACTTGGCCCATAAAGATGCAATAATGTACCCTTGTCTCACAAGTGAGATAGGCGTCCTAATTCTATTCTATATTTAAACTTGGAGTTTTTATCAATGAAGTTAATACCGTACCGTATCGGTCGGTACAACTGATACATACCGATTTTGATATTTGATCGAAACGGTACAACGTCAATTTTCATTTCGATCAAATTTCAAGCATTTCGGTCAAAATTCGGTG